CTCCACAATAAATGTCCGTGACGTATGCAAATGTTTGGTCTGCGCGTCATCAGTGTTTAAACCCTCACGTCTTAGCCTACTGTGGCATGTAGAGCTGCCAAATGCCTTCATTCGCCACAATAACCACTTTAACTATTGAAATTACAATAAATTTTTATAAGTTAAACTCTAGGCTTGTGTTTCAATTTCCCTGCAAAACAAAACTATCCTTATTGCTACTTTATTGGTTAAATGCAGTTGATTGGTGTTGAGGACATCCTGTTTTGGGCCAGTCGTAGCAGTCAGTTCAGCATCTTTATTAATGTGTATTTATTAAACATTACTCTGTCACCATTGTTAATAAGTGCTGGTCAAAGAGAATCTGTCAAAGGGAGTCTCTCAAAATTTTGTAAGATTCTCCTTAATGTTGTCTGTGCCCTGAGATTAGAGATGAGATGAGATACTTTGTACTTTTTACATCTTTTTGTCATTTAAATTTGTCATTTTAATCTTTTATCTCAAAAGGAGAGCACTTTGAGTCAATGTCAGTCTTCAGTAACCAGAAGGGCCCTTGGAAAGCACAGTCTTCCACCAAGGCCAGCGCAATATCTTGATATTTTAAATGAAGTGATCTGGATTTGCAGTATAATTTAATGGGTTCTTCATTTTCTCTACCACTCTACCGAGTTTCATGAAACTCAGCTTGATAGTTTTTGTGTAATCCAATGTATGTCAATGTAAGCAACAGCAGAGGAAGACCGACAGCTGCAATCAAAAGCAGTCACACAATGGAGCAAGTCGTAAAAATGGGAATCTTTCCCATCATTAGCTTCCCTCCCACATGAGAGGAACGCTGCAATAGGTGCAACAGCTGCATGCTAAGCTGTTAGCTACGTCTGTAAAACTGATAAACTGGTACATTTGTTAAATAACAGATATTGTAGGGTCTTATTACTAATATTTGCACTTAACACTTAACATCTCTTTGGTTTGACGTCTGTTTTAAAAAACTTATTGTATAAATAACGGTGACTTGACTTGACTTTTGTCTCTTGTGTGTTTGCAGACCTTCAGTTTGTTTTCTTTGCGGTTTACGATGACAGCGCTGATCTGCTGATCCATGAAGATGAGGATAGTGACGAGGAGAGCGGGAACAAAGCTTGCCAGATACCACCACCAGGGATTTTTACCGAACGGCATCACCAACCAGCCACGGTCAGGGCGTGTTGGCTGCATCGCACACAAACAATAATAACAAATAAATACATAGCAAAGGTGTGCAGGGGATCAGTTCTTCAAATCTCCTCGTGTAACAGAGCAATAAATATACTCGCATACAGGGGTGGAAAGAGTACAGAAGTGAAAGTAGCAATATAACAGGGTAAAAACATTACTTTAAGCAAGAGGCATTCAAAATGTTCGTAGAGATTATAAAGTGACTTAGTGTATTTAGTATATTTTTAGATTATTAATATAGATGCTTTAGTTTAGTCCAAGTTGGGACTCTCCAATGTATGTGTCTGAAGATGAGGGCGTGGGAGGTGATTAATGGGCATGGAAGGAAGAAGAAAAAAGAAAATTCTACTACAAATATTTGAATTCACTTTTGAAATTTTAGTATTTTATGAAATTACCTTGCGCTATGGCTGTCACAAAATGAGATTTTCACTATACAATTATTGAGGCCAAAAGAATTCTAAATAATATTACTGCAATATATATTAGTGTTAACTTATACTATTACTTATATTATGTTGTCTGTTTTGTCTCTTTCTGTCTTTTTTGGAAAATACATTTAACTTAAAATATGAGTGTTCTGAGACAGTTTTAGAGATTCATTTTTAATTATGCATATATTATAAGCTGTACTTTTATTTATATATATATGTAGTTTATAAATGTTTCTTTACTGTCAAATTACTCTGAAAAGAAACTACAATTATTAGATAAATGTAGAGGAGTGAAAAAGCAGTGGAAAATACTTCAAAGCTGTTTCATGCATGCAGACAAAAAACACATAAGCACATGCAAAAGAGGAGTCATTTGATATAAATTTAGGTGATATGGTAAAAATACACACATATTCTGACATAGTTTAGTGAGAATTCAAATACCTTGAACTCTGTTGGAACGATTAGTTTGGGCGTGTCTAACCCCATCAACATATCCAGACCCACAAAGGCCATGATTGACATGAAGATGGCAAAATCACTGATTAGCTTCCTTAGCTATGGGAGTAACCAGAAATAAAGGGAGGAAAAACAAAGACGTGGGACATGACAGTAAGAAAAGGAGATATATGTCCAAAAAAAGAAAAAAAAGGTGCATTCATGAGGGAATCAAAACAGGAACATATAAAAGAAGAGATGGTAAATTGATTGTTAAATCCGCACAAAATCAAACAGCTGGTTAGAAATGTATAAATCATTAAGGAAATGAATGTATTCAGCAGTGGTAATATAATAAGAAAACTGTGTAGATGGGAGAGGCGTTTAGGGAACCTTGATCTCAGTGGGCACGTGCAGTTTGGGTGTGTCGAGCGCCAGCAGGCAATCCAACCCACAGAACACCAGGATAGAAAGGATGATGGCAAAATCACTGACTAGGGTACGGAGCTGGACAGCATTCAGGGAGAGGAGAAAAAAATATGGGAGAGGAAGTTCTCATATAGATATGCAGGTTATAGGGTGCTGCTCTGGATGAGGAGAAGGAAGGGCGATAGCTCAGAGGGACATTTGGTAGATTTATATAAAAAAAGCTGGTGATATTCCACATTTTTGCTATTGAACAAGGACACATGTATCCTGTTTAGAACATCACATCCTGATTTCAGAACGTGTACAAGTCATTTGCCCGTTGACAGAAAGCAGGACACTCTTGCATGCGTACATCTTAATTAGGTTTCTAAATGCTGCTGCACAAGAAGACCAAGTATCAGAAACACACCTATTGCTGCAGTGAAAGCATCTCACTTTCAAAGTGATAAGTTGACTGGAGAAAGAATGGAAATACTGAGCACTGACAAGAGGCTGGTTTACCAACATGCACAATGACACAAGTCAGGTGAGCAGCCACAGTGCCATCTCTACCGCTAACCACACTCCAATTCTATGGTGGCTGTGGCTCAGATGGTAGAGAAGGCTAACCTTTAATCTTAGAGTTAAACGTTCTGTATCAGGTTCTTCCAGCTTAACGCTACAGTCTCTAGTAACTGCAAGCTAGCTACAGCAGATTGCAGCAATCACACCTTCCATTCCTCTAGAAATGGCCCATTGTAGGTATTCAGGGCTCAACACCTGAAGCTCTGGGTTATTGATAAGATCAGGTTTAAGCTCCAGTGCTGCCAAGTTGCCACTCTGACTACAGTTGTACTTCAGAATGACATATCATGGCAATAGCTGTTCAAATAGTTGGGTTATGCTAAGTATGTTGAGTGATTACTGTAAATTTCATTGTTGCAACATTTCAGGAATATCACCAGCCTTGTCTTGTAAAGAAATGTTTTCAGAGACATTGCTTCAAATTTCCAAAATCCAGCATGTCACATGCAGGTTTACTTGTTTTTAGACTAGGAGGGCCTGCAGGAGCGTTCAAATTGTCCTGGAAGGAAAATGTACACCCACAGACATGAATGAACATGCGGCTGTCTTACCTTTGTCGGGAAGTAGCGGCTGAACTTGAACTTCTTGAGAGAAATAGTCATGGAGTAGGTGCCAAAGAAGAGGATGAAGGACATGAGCGCCAAGTCGGGGACATACTTACAGGAGCTCCCCACCAGAGTGCCACCATATTTCACACACTCTTTCTTACTCAGCTGACTCCAGTCCAAGTCTGTCAAGTTAAACTACGACAACAGAAGAAGAGAGGACAAAACACGAGAAAAGAGGGGATATGGAAGGGATGGGAAGTTGCGACATTGGGAAAAATGGCGGAGAAGGGAAAAATCAGGTAGCAAAGAGGAGACAAAGCAGACACAAGAGAAAGAAAAGAACAGCGATAACAGAAGAAAAAACAATACAGAGCACAGAGCCACAGTGCTCTCTGATGGCCATCTGGATACAAAACTGAAAAGACTTTCTGGTCTGTATTCATCAAGCATCTTGGAATAATTCTAAAGAATCAATAGTTGATTCAGGAATCGACTGTCAGGAGTGAATGACTACTTTTAAAAGAAAGCTTAACGTCCCCGTTTCATGAGATTGTGATAGCTGGTACAATTTTCAATCTGGTTCCTAAATTCACATCTAGTGAATATCATATGACTCCCTTCACCCATGTTCTCTCTTTTGTCTCTCGCAAAACGAAAACACTGACGATGTATAGAACATATAAGTTGTTTACTATAGTTTGATTCATGCCACTATCATGCTTGTCGAATAATCAGTCCCTAGGTCACAATTAAAATGTATTATTTATGTTATTGACATGTTTAAAAGAAGCTGGTTTTGTAAATATGATCCTTTGTTAAAATTAATATTGCTTTGTTGCTGCAATGACGAAAATTCGTTTTATGACTGTTAAACACCACTGTGTTAAAATGGTTCAGTTTCAACACACTTTGCATTGATTTTAAGAACTTTGTGTAAAGTTCTCCATGAGCTGTAACAGCAAATAAAGCTTGATTTACTACTACTTCAAGACATCACCTCCTGCACAGACAGTAAAATTCTTCAGTTATTGTTAAGTTTCCGCCTATCTGCTGATATGTTTGTCTTAAGAAACATTAACACCATCTTCGAGAAGCAGAGAAGTCATATCTGATATGAAGAAATCTGACAAAACGCTTGAAGTAGGCTTTAGAGAACTATTTACCAGTTGGGACTAATTTCGTACTCTGAAATGCTTGATAAATACAGGCCCAGATTTCTGTGGCTCAGACTTCAGGACCTGAGATCACATCAAATGCAGTTCAAAACAAACAACTTGAGATGCAAATACAGCCTGACTTATCTTCACAAATGGTAATAAGAAGGATTCATAAGAGAGGTGCTAATCTCACACTGTTCAGTCTATTGTCACTCACCAGCAGAGTCATATTATCATCTCCGAGTGGAGCTGAAACATTCAGCGCAGATGCTGAAGAGATGAAAACAGAAAAAAACAAATGAATGATAAATAACATGACTTGCAATCCTTCCCTTTTTAGTCGAAATGGTAATAGCGTTCTTACTATCAGATTGTCAGACTGCAGTACACTTTTCTCTGCCTGTTTCTTAGCTCCATCAGCTCTAACCCTTTCCAGCGCATAGCTGAGAGTCTACCGGGGTCTCTGCAGTGCATACTCACATTTTCAGGCAGCATCCAAAAATGAGGCAGAAACAGAGAAGATACACAAAATCATCACAGTGTAAAGAGCGAAGAATTTGCTTCTACTGACAATGAAACATCTCCTTTAGTAACACAGAATTCACCTGATGTCTTCCTGGCAGTTGGTTACAAAGGCTGAGTCATTTCCTAATTATATTAATAAAGTGGCAAATTCTGCAGCGGCTAACTAAATTAAGTTCCCTAAGATCAAACAAATTACTATCAATACACCGCTTTATCCTCACTAGGGTCGTGGGAGGCTGGAGTCTATCCCAGCTGACTTAGGGCGAAGGCAGGGGACACCCTGGACAGGTCCCCAGTCTATCACAGGGCCACACTTAGAGACAGACAACCAAGCACACTCACATTCACACCTATGGACAATTTAGAATCACCGATTAACCTCAAAATGTTTTTGGACTGTGTGGGAGGAAGCTGGAGAACCCGGAGAGAACCCACGCTGCACGGGGAGAACATGCAAACTCCACGCAGAAAGATTCCGGTGCCCCCACCGGGACGCGAACCAGCAACCGTCTTGCTGCGAGGCAACAGTGCTAACCAACTGCGCCACCCTCAGGTCATGTCATGTCTCATTACTATTTTTCTAAAAATGAGATGAGAGGACTGATATTAGTCTCATGTGTGGGTCTCCACAGTCAGCTGAGCTCAGCATGTAGACTGAAAGCAGAAGTTCAGAAACACACCTGCCAAGGTCTATAAACCTCACAAATTAATGTGTTGCATCTCACTTATTTAACCATATGAACGCTAAGTTTTTTTCATGGTAATTTCATTACCTATACACACTTATCTTGGTCATTATAAGGACTAGCTACACATGGTGTATCTTGTTATTCTCAGAACTGTCTTGGCTATCCTGATCTTTCATCGTTTGATACTTGCAATTTTTTTTTTGTATTAGTGTTTACATCAAAAAAAAAAAAGGTTTATTTTATGAAATCATTGTTTTTCACATGTTTCACACCATAAATTGCTGTCAGTGTAGATATCTTTCTATACTACTGTAGGCAAGATTATGTGAAATCTGGCCATATCAGAGGGTTCTCCGGCTTCCTCCCACACAGTCCAAAAACATGTTGAGGTTAATTGGTGATTCTAAATTGACCGTAGGTGTGAATGTGAGTGTGCTTGGTTGTCTGTCTCTAAGTGTGGCCCTGCGATGGACTGGCGACCTGTCCAGAGTGTCCCCTGCCTTCGCCCTAAGTCGGCTGGGATAGGCTCCAGCCCCCCCGCGACCCTAGTGAGGATTAAGCGGTGTATAGAAAATGGATGGATGGATTGCCATATCAGAGCCATGATGGTAAGACACTGTATGACTTTAAATATGTGCATAGTGCCTAACAAAGATAGATGTCAATATGTTACTGATGTGTCGAGCTACAGTTATTAATCTAGAGCTGTCACCCATTAAAAGAATTGCTAACTATGTTGATTGGTTAGAATCCTTTTTGTATGGGGGGAAAAAATAACACCTCTAAATTATCTGATTGGAGCTTCATAAATGTGGATATTTTGTGGTATTTTCCTCCTCTGTGACATTAGATTGAATATCTTGGTGTTAAGGACAAGCCAAAATTTTGTCATCTTGAGCTTTAGGGCTGTAGGGTGAGGAAAGGGATATTCACTTGGTTGTAATCTTCAACCTCACAGCTCGATTCCACTAAATCCTGCACAAAATAAGAAAACTACAGAGCCCCCAAGTGGTCATGTTGTTAAAAAAGATATATGAAAATCTGTATGTACAGATAAATACAACAACGCAATTAACTTTAAATATCAGAACCTGTAGGACAAGCAAAATGATACTCAAAACCTAAAGGTTGTACGTGGTGAAAATATAGATATATAGATATATTTTAGAGTGTTTTGTGGTTGTTATAAACGTGGAGGTGTAAACTGAAATCTGTTAAGACATTAAGACCTTTTACTTCTGCCATTCCTCAAGCCCATCCACAATGAACGAGCCTCCCAGCTTTACAAGTCAGCGAGAATTTAACCGAAATTTTACCTCACACCTCACGAACCAACAATGATTAACCTCAGACTTATATAATCCTGCCCCCCGACTGCCAGCTACTTCCAGCCACTGCATTCAGAATGAGGAGCTCTCTCTCAGTCCTTAGAGATAAGTGAAAGAAAGTCCAGGGGCCTCATTTATCATCAGTGCGTACGCACAGATATGTGCGTAGAGCATGCATATGAACATTCCTACGCAAAGTATGGAATTTATCAACTTGTAATTATACTTAGGAATATACGCACACCTCTGACCATGCGTACGCACAAAATCTAGCGGTAGAACAGTGAAACTACAAATAGAAAGTATTGGAGTATTGGAGGAATGCACGACTCATTCACTGAGCAGAACAGCTCTGTGGGTGCGTCTCCAAGCAGGAGCTGCTGAAGACGGTTGGCCTATTGGTGAGTGTCACAGAGTGTGGAAATGTTTTAGCTGGACTTTGGTTATTAAAACATGTCATCTGCAGTGATCAGGGCTATCCACTGGGTGAACGTTCGGTGTTAATTTGTCCTCCTCCAGTTGCAGCCATTTCTCTTTTATGGACTGTGATGTGTTTTTTGGCACTGAGCTTAACGTCAAACCACTTTTAAAAATTTTTGCCAGCGATCTCTCCTCTGACCCAACAGAAATAACTGCAGTGGTTATCTTGTCCCATGCAATATTTTTTCTTTCGCTGCTTATCCCAACATTTCACGCACCAAACAATATTTTCTGGTTTGCTTCAACCTCGCTGACAAGTAGGAGGCGTTCCTGAAGGCAACGTGCACGAGGACGGAGGTTAAGAACAAGTAGGATTTATCAACACTGATGTGCGTACGACCCCCGTACGCACGTTTGATAAATACAGATTTTTTTTGTACTTACGCACACTCTAAATTTCATTCATAGGACAGAATTTAGAACCTTTTCTACGCACTGATGGTAAATGAGGCCCCTGGTTTCACACACTCATTCATGTCTGTAAGCTGTCATGTGCTCAATTGTTTTCTTTTTGCAATCAATAGCAGACACAGAGAGTCTTCTTCCTGAATGGGGCAGGGACAGCAGCAGTTCAGCTGCATTTAAAGCTACAGACATTAAAACAGCCTGTATAGAACAAGTCTAAAACCAGGGCTTATACAGTCATGGTGAAATGAACCATCTTTGAGCTGAAACATGAAAAGACCCACTGTAGGTCCATGTAAGACTTTCATCAATTTGCTGAAAAGGGGCACAATAGCAGTGTTTTAAATACCAAACTAAATTATTATCAACATGCACAGTATGTCAGTTTCTTACTGTAGCTACTGTCAGATTACATTGTATCTGGCACCAGCAGGTTGGCTAAAATAGGTTAAATCTAAAGGCATGCTTTGCCAATCAGTGTGCACAGTTCTTCAATTTGTTCCCACTGTTTATTAATCTTTTTGTTTAATGATCCGGATTTTAATGTGATCCCTGAGGGACTCCATAGTAAACAGAGCATTTACAGAAAACAAAAAAAAAGTTTGAAGACTCACCCTGGTCTGAAGCAATGCATTCACACTTGTAAGAAGTGATGTAATCAGGCTTGAAGCCACGGTTGATTGGGTAATACTTAAAGGCTCCTGACTGTGGAAAACAAAGCAGGATTTTTTTTATTTTTTTTTTTGCTGTACACTGTGACACTGTATTTTAAGTACTGTCCTATTTGCTGCAGGTACTAGCAAAGGACAGGCAAACATTACAGCAAATTACCCACCATCTTCTTGATGGCATCGGAGATAAATATGAAGGAGATGAGGCTGGAGAAACCCTCCTCTGTAAAGCGGGTCATGTATTTGATGATGTAGCTGGCATCTGAGATAACCAGCAAAAAACACTGCAGACACGAGTGAAGGCCAATCCACAGACGCAGTTCCATGTAATCTATACCATTGCTCCTGCAAAGCAAAGATACAAAGCAGAGGTGAAATGACAAATGTTTAAATTATTTGTACTGTGTTCTTTAGTGTGATTATGTCTTACTTGCTGAAGTCGAAAAGCAATTTTTCAAAGATGAGAATGGGTCCAGTTGAGCTGAGGATGATGAGAGGTTGTCCGCCAAACACACAGAAGACAGTCCCTGCTAAAGCAGTGCCAAGGAAACTTTCCATCACCCCCTGAGAGAAAGAGAGGGGATAGATACAACCGTCAGATAGAGCCAGTTTGGCCGTTATGGACTGGTTCATGATGTTCCTGCCCTCATGAAAACCTGGTAATTTTCAGTAGCATCCCCAAGCAGTCCTCCAAAGGTAATGGCATTGGTGATGCAGCCCAGGTAGATGAAGAGTACAGCAGAGATGGACTGGATATGGAAGCCATCATAGATATCACTGCAATACCATGGGATCTTCCTTTTGATGTCCAGCCATAAACCACCACAAAACCTATGACAACAAGCCAGAGCACACAGTTAAAATGACTGTGATACATGGTACAGGGTCCCAGTAGCAATCAGCAGATATTTCTTTTTCTTTTTTTTTTAAGATTTTTTATTTTCAAAAAGAATGAACACAAATTAACAAGTTAACAAAGTTGGTCCATACATGAAAAAGGAGGAGCACAGCATTCAAGCAGTATGAAAATCCATCTAGTGAAACACATACACAAGTCAAATTTCTGTTATGTCCCGTTTCAAACATGTGTCCAGTTAGTTCAGTTCCAAATTGTATTTAACTCCAAGATGTTCCAGTGGTCTTCTCCATTTCTGCCATTGATGCAATGTCCCAATTTTTCAAGAGTCACAACCTCAGATATGAGAGATTTCCATGTAAGAACAGAAGGAGGGTCATCTCCTACCCACTTCACCATAATAGCCTTCCTTGCCAGCATTAATAGTGATTGAATCACCTCCTTGTGTTGTTTAAGAAAGTTGGGGACACTTCCAAGCAAACATAGCAGTGGATCTGCTGACACTTTGTCCTATTGCAACACTAATGTTTGCACATATTGCCCTCCAGAATACCTGAACTGTATTGCATTCCCACAGGCAATGCAATCTAGTTCCTGCATGACTTTTACATTTGGGATAATTTGGTGAAGCTCCTACTGTATATTTACTGTAAATATTTGGTGATATGTAGACGTTATGAAGGATGTTATAATGTAATTCTTTATATTGAAATTCTGGAGGGCAATCATAGGATGTCATTCCACATGTCATTCCCTATCACACACTTCAGCAGAGTACACCATGATGTTTTAAGCCATGCCAGTTTATCCACATTCAAATTTTACAGTTCTGAATAAAATTTTGACACAAAATGTTTTGGCTCTTTATGGTTGAATGGCCATTCTCATCCTGTATAGCCAAGATAAAGGATTTAACGGGAGCATTCCTTGCCAGTCGTGCCAAAAGGCGGTTTGGTTTGTTGGCCGATTCAAAGAATTTTTGTTTAGTAAATAGAATATCCTTTTCTGCCTTTCCAGTTATCAAGTTATGCAAACTCCACGGTGTCCTCACCGTCCCGGTGATCTTCTTGCTGCAAGGCAACAGTGCTAACCACCGAGCCACCTTGCAGTCCCTGTTAGAAACAGCAGTAACACAATTTTACATCCACTCCAGGTGTCACAATCTGCAGAAAAAATCTTGTTGTTTTGATATAGAAGGAATCACGGCTAGAAGATGAGCCTGGTATCAAAATTAACCGTATTCAGGACATTCATGCTGCCATATGTAGAAGGTCTTTCAGGGTCAATTGGACCTCAAGAAAGGATATGTGCAAAATATTTGTTGGTATTCATTATAGACTTAGACTATGTTAAATACATTTTCTTGCAAGTTGACATATTTTTCATTCCAAATCCATGACAAATGTCCCTCTTTTTATATTTAAAAGAAAATCTTCAAAAATAATAAAAACAATACTTGTCACCTGAACCAAATGGCCTGGGGTCCAAAAGACCCCAGGGGTCCTGAATAGGGTTAAGATAAAAAATTAGACTTTTCATTTGCTATAACTTCTTTTAACCAACCACCTATCCCACATGGTAATATGACCCTCAAAAGATTAGCCAAAATGCACTTTTTAAAATTTTCTCCGGGGAATTATCAAAAAACAAAACACTCATCCAGGGTATCAATGCTTGTTTCTATGACTCTGTCATTAACATTACACAGGTGCAGCTTATCCCATGATATTGATGCTTAAAGTTCGTTATAGAAATAAACTATGCAATACAATGACCTGATTTTGTCTTTCAATTGTGACACCTTACGTACTTATTTACTTATCCCGTTAACGTCTGTTGGGACACTAGCAGTGTGTAAGACGATGTATGGATGCTTCGCAGTTCCATTCGCCATTTATCCCTATCGAGGTCATCATCAGGGGCTAGCCCCTGACACCAGCTCCTCCCATGTTTTCCTGGGTCTCCCCCTCTTTCCTTTTCCGGTGACATCCAAGTTCCTGATTTTGTTGATGCTCTGAGTACTACGATGGACGTGTCTGAACCATCTTAGATGCCGGTACCGAATCTCTGTATGAAGATCAACAAGGCCTAATTTCATACAAACCTCACTTGAGCTAATGTGCACATCAGACTCGATGTGGTACATCCATCTCAGCATGGATCTCTCATTCCGCTCCAGGCGACTTAGATCTTCTTTCCTTAGAAGCCAGCACTCACAGGCATACAGCATGGTACTTCAGATATAAGTGTTGTATACGCGGCCACGGACATCGGGTAATATGGACCTTGATGACAGGCGAGGCAACAGTTCTTTGAATTTCTTCCAGGCCGATCTGGTTCTAGTGATAGTGGCAAGATCACAGCCACCGCCAGCACATAAATTGTCTCCAAGATAGCAAAAAGAGTCAACAGTTTCGAGCATGTGATCGCCAATAGCCACTTAGCTGCACTGATTGCTGACAATAGGGTGCACATTGCCAAGACAACGATCGCATCTGAAAAGGGGGTCCTCGGACAGCCTGCCACAGTTGTTTGAGCGCCTCTTGTGCATCCAGTGCTTGCAATCATTACAGTAGATGGAGTTTCTTTTGATTTAAAAAAAAAAAAAAAAAAAAAAAAAAAGAAAGGTGAGCTTTTACAGGATTGAATTTCCCTTCTGGGATGAATAAAGTATTTTTCATTTCATTTCATTTTCACTTCATTTCATTTCATTTCATTCGGCCGATGCCTTTCCTGTACACACCACAAGGATGCTTTCCGGAGTCTCTTAGGGTATTAACCGGTCGAGGCAGATGGCCGTCCTCCCTGAGCCTGGTTCTGCTGGACATTTTTTTCCCCCCTCCTTCCAGTCGGGGTTTTGGTTCCTTCCCACCATTGCCAACCGCTTGCTCAAAGGAAGTCCAGAGGCAAGTTTGGATTGTTGGTTTCTCTGTTTAAATTTGTCAGGTTTATATCTTACTTTATTAAGCGCTGTGTTGCAAACTGCGCTATACAAATAACATTGAATTGAATTGAATTGAATTGAATTGAATTGTTAAGATGAGGGCTGGATATCCACACTTCAGTTTTCTTCATGTTGACTCGCAGTCCTTTTGCCTCTAAGCCACTTTTCCACTGAAGGAATTTGTTTGTGAGTTCATCCAGGGACTCAGCAGAGATTACCAGGTCGTTGGCATACAGTAGCTCCCAGAGCGCTCCAGTAGAGAAATCGCGGGTCATGGCCTCTAGCACGATGACAAACAGGAATGGGCTGATAACAGAGCCTTGGTGTGCACCAACTCTTACATCAAAGTCATCACTGAAAGAGCTGTTGATGTGGACTTTAGTGGCATGCGAGTACAATGCCTGGACAGTTCTGACAATCCATTCCGGAATCCCCACGTGTCTCATCGCCCACCACAAGACATCTCAGGGCACACAATCAAAGGCCTTTTCCAAATCCACAAACGCGAAGTATACTGTATATTTCTTTCCTTTGCCAAGTACCTTTCCTGGAGCTGTCTCACAATGAAGATGGCGTTACTTGTACCTTTGACCAGCATTAACCCAAGTTGAAACTGTGCGATGACTACGAACACTTTGTCAAGCACTCTTTCAAAGACCTTCAGACAATGATATCTTCAGGCCCCTGTAGTTGCCTCTATCAGTTGCATCACCCTTACCCTTGAACAGATTAACAATGTAGCTGCTGTCCCACTCAGTTGGAACCATGATGTAAAATTAATTTAGTTGCAATTTTTAACAGAGTGTGAAATTCAGCCCACCCCTACGTACTTCAAAGGCTTGTAATTCAATAGTATGAAAGTATAATTTTGCATGCCGCAATAAATATACTCAAGTTGTTGTACAAAAATATCAGCTGATTCTGAGGGGGTCAGATGGGAGGTACTGATTGATTTTTCATGAAATGAGACTATAGTCAAGTTCTCTCTTACCTCCCAGTGAATTTCAGCTCCTCTCCCAGCTCATGTGGAGCTGGAAGTTCCTCATCTTCTCCTCCAGCTGCCCCACCAGCTGAGCCGTTCATCTGACCCAGCTCATTCAGGTTCAGCACGGATTTCCTGGGATAAAGATAACAGAGAAACCTGGTTTTAACACAGCTCAGCAACCTCTTGGATGTAACTGGCCTACTCGAGTGAACCCTTTCACAATGTTCCATTGTAAAAATAATCACCATTATAAAAATACTAATTAAAGCTCTTGCAAGAAAACACTTTGGGTTTCTTGTTTCTAAAGTGCTTTACAAATAATACAGTCTTGTGTATGGATGTCAACAAAGTAAGGAATGTGTAACAGGGTGGGCACGTGGCCTTGGGATTCAAATTTTGAGCATGTTACCTAAACTGGTAGTTGCCAACGTTAACAAATCAGTAAAAAATTTTCCATGTTCTGACACAACAGGTTTAAACAAGTGACACTTAACGGTTGTGTCAAAATCAGCTCAGAGAACAGAACAGTGAAAGAACAAGGTTTAAAATCACTGTTCAGCAATTGGTTTGACAAAATCCACAGTGTTAAACACAGCAAACGAGCTGCAGTCTTCCACAGTAAATAACCTGAAACATCATCATCATCATACATCATCTCTTCACAGCAGTTTGATATCAGGCATTCTCATAGCTGATATTTTTTTCTGGGCTCCTAAGGCTGTTGAGCAAACACACCTGTGACTCACCAAGATGCTCCACCTGGTGGAAGAATCAGGTACTACAGCTGATCTACAATACATGTTCTGACATGCATGTTCCTCATCTTCTGCCTTATCAGTTAATATGCTGTTAGTTGGTTAAGTTATTAACAATTAATCAATTAACAATTAATCTCAAATGTGGCTAACATGAATTGTGTTTGACCTGCCTCATTTCTGCTGATGGAACCTTCTTGGGAGGTTCGATGCGTATTTTGGGGTCCCATTCGCCTGGAGGAAGGACAATCACCTCATCCAGAAACTCATCAACACCTGCAATCAGGTCCTCACGGTCTCTTGCTTTATAAGCAACATCACTGAACAGCTGAGGACAAATAAAGGAATAAAATCAACCTTACACATCTTTTGTGTGTATAGGTGTATTCTATTGGGATGCGCTGGCAGCAGTCACTCACATCGTCTACCATAAGAGTAGCTATAGCTCTGCCGATCTCATTGTAAGACTTGGTTTTACCGTGAGGACCCAGCAGGATGAAAAGAAACCTGTCCGAAGAAAAGGTTAAAGTATACACATACACAAATACTGAGAGTTAAGCTGAAAGGGAGAGATCAGGGTCGCCCACCTGGTTGGCACAGGGACCTCAGTGAGACCTCCGAGAGTTGTGGCTTGAGCCAAACGCACAAAAGAGACAAATGGCTTTTCCAGAAAATCCACTTCACCGATCAGGACATTGGAGGCTTCAGCATCACGAGGAATCTTCTTCATGAACTTATTCTTCAACTGACAGATGACAGAGAACAGAAAGGATGGAGAGCTTTAGTAGAAATCACATGTGGTAGACAGCCTGTACTGCAGATGAACTTCTCTAGCTACTGCTACTGTGTGCAATCATCAGCTGGCTTGAATGTGTATGTAAGTGGCAAATCAGATCATGGTAGCTGGTACCATTAAATGACAAAAATTAAATGCAAAGGAACTCTTTGCTCATCTATTTCATGAGATGGGTTCGTAACCGAGAGATAAGCATATGTAAAAGTTTCAAACAGACTCCCACACATGGTCTAGATTGCAAAAATATATTTGCCTGATGCAAACTGAGCACCGAAACATCATGAATGAATGAATGAATGAATGAATGAATGAATGAATGAATGAATGAATGAATGAATGAATGAATGAATGAACATATTTTTTGCAAACTGGATAGTGTGTGGGAGTCTGTTCATAAACTCTTAGTACAAAAAAATTACCCTCAGGAGTTTAAAGCACAAATGCCACAAGCAAGTCAAGAATTTCTTTCTCATTAACTTCCAGCAGGAACTTTTCAGTAACAATTTTAGGGAGGGCAGCATTGCTTCACAGTTAGACCATCTGGACCATCTGGATCTTGGACCAAATTTAACTTGTTTGAACAAGTCTTGAATTCGGATGATCTTAAGCAAAAAACAGAGTCTTGACTGTCAGAATGTACTGCATTCTCTCCATTCACCAGAAACTTTTGAACATCTCTTGAAAATGTGAAGAGTGTAGGACATGTCCTTCAAGAGATATGGACATCTGAAAGCTGCATCTTGTTCAATTGAAAATTGAAAATTTCTATTGGGTAAAAAAAAGTGAAAATGTTGGAATTTCAGCCAAATGTCAGTTTCAGATGCCGAAGATCAATCCAGCAACTTTTCAACAGATTCTGAGATGATCAAACAACCACCTTGCTGAGTTGACATGGAAAGACTCAACTGGAAACCACAAAATGATTGCTAAAAAGATTTTATGCTCACTTAAGGTGAAGACACCCACCAAGAGCCACTGAAAACCTGTAAATATCTTCTCCATCTTACAAACAAGAGGTCATATCTGTTAACAGAAGGTTCTGACAGACCTATATGGTTTATCTATTTATAAGTTTAAAAATTGAAAGTTTTAAGCTTTAATAATTCCAAATAAATCATTTAATTTGGTATAGACCATTTATGTAAGCCACCAATCAGAAAAAGTTTTAAGTTTCCAGGCTGTGAAATCTGCAACTGTTTATTCCTTTATGAATTGTTAATAAGTTGTAACAAATGGTTAATAAATTATTTATTAGTAGTTTTTTTTTAGCAGGTTAGAAACCTTGAGTATTTATGATTAGATTTATTAACCATTACAGCCATTAGTTACCACCCTTTAAAAAGACACTATAATAAAAAGGGGTATCGTCATCTTTTTCTTTGACAGAGTTAATTCCTAACAAATACTAACAAACACTAATTCATAACATATTTAATACACATTTGACGCATTGCAAGCCATGTTTCCATAACATATTTTATGCTTATTTGACGCATCACATTAGAAAAAGTTAATAGCAACAATAAAACCTGGCTTTTTTTTTTTTTTTTTAACAAAAAACTTTTTGCTCTCCCTCTTGAGGTGGTTTTTGACTTTTTAAAAACAGATAATACACTTAATTGGAGATAGACACACATTTTGTAACTAAGTTCTGACATAGCAAACATTCAAGTTAAATAACTGATCTGTAGTCTCTTTTGTTGCCTTCATCTCCAGGCAGCATGAAACATGGTCGACACAGATGACATGAAAGAACAACTTCAACCTCCTGTACCGAGACAAATTCCTGAAGATTTCTTTTAATTTTCCTTTTGTAGATAGGCAAAATTTTGTTTCTTACTTTATTTTTAGACTTTCAGAATGTGGCAAACATCTGGTTTTGTTTCCAACTTCTTCTACTCTGTTTATTACAGCCATGTAACCTACAGCACCACTTTCTGACAACGTTATGCTGACTAGTTCATTCATGCAAAGCAATTAATGGAAATAAGCCAAATTGTTTAATTTATGCCAATATTTCAAAAGTTTGCTTTCAAATTCATATGATAGTTACATGGAAGTACAGCTATTATTGATTCAGAGTTCTCCAGAACTGTCACATGTACAGCTGGGAAGTTTCTCATCAGGATGACCTAAACAATCAGCTGCAAACAGTATAAACCACATAACGCAGTGCTGTGGCTCTTCAGCTGCACCCGTCCTCCTCCTCCTCCTCCTCCTCCTCCTCCTCCTCCCCCTCAACAAGGAAGCACGTGGCAGTGGAGTGGTGGGTACTTAAATTAAAATCTCTTTCTAATCTGTTAATGCTGCTTTCAGAGTCAATTTACCAGCTGGTCCTCTTTCACTTGTTGGTGCAAAGCAACCACAAACAAGTCAATTCAATCTTACACACTATGAACTAATTTAGAGTAAGAATAACAGCAATGTTATTCTTAATAATGAATGTTCCAAAGTTTCAGTGGCAATCTGCTGCGATACTGTGTACTACTAAGTATATTTTTTTTGTTTCTTTCCTCCTCCAGTGGGCATTGCATGACATGATGTAATGTTCTACTGTGTAAACTGGTCAGATTAAAGAAAGCTGGGGGGGACATGCCAGCTTCTGTGAACAAATTGTTACACCAGACTCAGGGGTCACATGCATGACTTGATTTCTTGCTTGCTTTGAAGTTCTTGTTAAGAAAATTTACCCCAATGACACTGTCACACACCAACCACACAACACACACACACACATCAAATGAGTGCTGCTGCTTAACAACAAATACAGTTGAACTGGCTGTTCCATATTTTGTGGACAGATCAAAAGGAGAAGCAAATGACTGAAACTCAGATTTTTCACTGTTGTTCTTTATATGGAGTGATTCAGCTAAGCTCAAAGAAATGTTCACACACACACACACACTCAATCATAAGTACAAATACACATGCAGGTACTATGCAAGTTAACAAATTCCCATCCTAACTGCCAGTCTGTTTGGACTAAAGGGATTAATCAGTTCTCTGTATAACTTCTCATAAAGTAAGACTCATTTTTTTCCACTGAAAACGCTTTTTTGTGACATACACAAACACACACTACGAAAGAAGAATCAATGTATCCCTTTATGCCTTCTGTAAACTGAAGCAAGCTGTCATTATTTTCCCACAGGCAACAGGCGATCAGTAGACCACAAATCAATAACAAATCACACAGTGACAGTGTATATGCCTACGCACAACCAAGTGTGTCGACGACCCAGATATTAAAAGGGAACTCCACCAGTTTCACACATGAAAATCAGTTTCACATGAACTTTGGTTTACAAACTGGAGATATGGTTTTCATTTCCAAGTCCCGGGTCTTGGTTGTGCGTAGGCATATACACTGTCACAAATATTTCAGGAAAAGTTGTAATACACTTTAAAGCATACTTTAATAAGTATACTTTAATAAGTATGCTTTAAAGTGTATTCAAACTTTTCCTGAAATATTTTGTTTAAATATGTAAATAGGTATTTTATATAAATTCAATAATTTGCATTAATTTCCAGAAGACAAATCAGAACAATCAATAAAGCCAACTCCAAAATTCTTCAGTCTCTTGACATTTCTTATTATCATTCCATAAAATCCCCCCCCCAAAAAAAAAATCTATTTTGGCCATCTTTTTAGAAACAAAATGTTCCACAAATTTGATTGTATGCCATGACCCCCCAGCCTTAGCCCCAGCCCTTGCCTGTCTCCCTCTTTTTCTCTCTCTCTTCTCCCTCCTCTCTCTTTGTGTCTGATTGTCTCTCACTCTCTGTCTGTCTCCCTCTCTGCCCCTATGCATCTCAGCACACAATCAAGGACAATCACCCACAGCTGCAACTCCAGACTCACCTGCTCACAATCACCAAAGCTCCTATAAAGACTCTGTTCATTCCACCACACCCTGCCAGACATTCCTCCCACATGTTTCTGCCAGTCCCTGGTCTGTCTCTAGCCTACATTCCCCCAGCCAGCTTTCTCCTGCCACCAGTTCCAGCCTGGATTCCCCGAGTCTGTCTGCCTCCTCCATTTTTGTTCCCTCTTTCCTGGATTCCCCTGAGTTCTCAGACCCCCTCCCCCCGTGACACTATGGTCTGGCCAAGATTGACCCCAGCAGACACAGAGTCTGGCTCCGACCCATTGCCTGAATCCCCCATAAACCCCTTTAGTGATGAGGAATCTTACCAGTATTTGGATCACCTCATTCACCTTTTTAGACTTTGAAAAGAGGCTGGAGACACCCATCTTAGACAAGTTTATCTGGATTTAGCACACAAAGTAGCAGTGCAAACACCCTGGCTGTGGGGCTCACTACCTGAATTCATTTTGGATTTTATTGGCACCCCTGTCTCCCAGCCTGCCAACTCCGTTCCTGCTCTGAAGACAGCTAGCTTTCGGCCTGCAGATCCTGAGCCCTCTCAATGTCGGCTGGGTGTGATGAGCCTGCAGCCCATTGGCTACAAAGGACCTTCAGCCCCTGTGTCTGTTAACCAGAGGATTAACAGCCAGGTTTTGCCACCACCCACTATCCCCACAAATCCTGCCCACCCAGATACCATCCCTGCTGATGCCCAGAAGACTTCCTTCTGGGGAACCCGCCTAGCCATTAAACAGACACCCAGTGGAAGGCCAGGTTCCCGAGGTGGAGACCCCCATTAGCGTTTCGTCAATGAGCTGACCTCATTTTTGTTGGATAGAGCCGTGGGACAAGACAATTTTGAGGCTGTCTCACCCAGTTTCCCACCTGAACCTGCTCGCTGGGACTCCAAGGAGCCACTTCCTGGAAGATGTTCCAGGAAGAGGCGTGGCTCCCGGCAACGCCATACCTCGCTGCTCCCCAGCATTATGGAGGTCCCGCTGCCGAGCATTGCAGAGGTCCCGCCGCCCCCACCACACCGGTCCTGCATCTTGGCCCTCTCCGGGTGGGTCGACACCACCACTGAGTCGGTTCCTGTTGCCGGGCGGGTCGACGCCACCTCTGATCCTGTCGCTGTTCCCAGTCGGGTCGACACCACCTCTGGTCCTGATCCTGTTCCCGAGCAGGTCGACACCGCCTCTGTTCCTGTTCTCGAGAGGGTTGACGCTGCCTCCACCAGCTCAAAGTACTGGCACCTGCCATAGTTTGCTGACAATCCCCCAGCAAAGAGAATGTCCCAGCCTCTTATGCTCCTGAGCCTCGGCCTGCTTTGGCGTCCCCTGTTGCAGAGAGGCACCGCCTTTGCCAGCTCCTGGCCCGGCCTCCTGAGGGATCCCGCCTCCTTTGTCTGCGGGCTCCAGTCCGGCCTCCCGACGGATCCCACCTCCTTTGTCTCCAGGTCCCAGCTCGATGACCCGAGGGTCTCCGTCCCGTCTGTTGTCGGCCTCGACTCCAGCCACCGAATGGGCTTCGTTGCCACAGGCTTCCAGTCCAACATCCGGTTCAACTACCTCTGTGGTTCCGCAGCCGACCTCCGGAGCAGCCCTGTCTGCCCGACCAACCTCCAGGCCATCCTCCAGAGCGGTCTGTCTGCCCAACCGGTGTCCTTAGTTTTAGAGTTTGTTTTGACCAGTCTCAAGACTGCCCGCTGGATTTATCTTTTCTTTTGGACTCTGTATTTGGACCTGCCTCAAGGCTATCTTCCAGACTGTCTGGACACCTTTTGTTGTTGTGTTTTTTGTTGTTTGTTTTGTTTATTTGTGTAATTTATGTTAAGCAGCTTTTTTTTTTTTTGTAGATTATTTTTGATTCCACACATTCAGCAGTTTTGGAGCAACATAATTCATTTGGAGTGGTATCTAGTGTCCACCTGGCAAATCTATGTTTAATAATCACTCTCTTTTAGCTAAGCTATCTGCCTCTTTAGTTGTGTTCAGCAGTTAGCAGTGGTGCAATGAATTGTCCACATAGCTGACTAAACTCAATGACTAAATTAGTTGCACACAAATGTAATTGTGGATTAGTTGATTATAACATTGTGTGCATTTTTCACACTGACTCAGAATGCTCTGACATAAAGAAGCTACTGCTTACAGTAGTGACGTCTGCCACTACCTGAGGTGAGTTGCCGGCTGATAGGATTCAACGTCACAAGGACGCTACAAGTGGACCAAGTTAACTGCTAATCTCAGCACAGGAGAACTGGAGGAACACTGAACCAAAAGCAACAACCAAAGATTCCACCAGTGTGTTGCAGACCTAGCATTGTTTTATTTTGTTGCTTTAATAAAATATTGGTATCCTGGTTAACTGGTATTGCTATTACAGCACCTGCCATTATGTGTCTCAATAAACATGAACCTTATTGTGATGTTTGTTGAATTATCATCAGTTTCTCTGTTCAGTGTCCTTTTCAGTGTATGTATGAAAACATTGGGCAAAATAAGCCTCATATATTGTTAAATTTTAACATGAAGACAACATGGAAGCAGTGTGTAACTTTGCACATTAGTCTCTGTGGTCCTTCAAATGAGTCCACATCATTGTCAAAATGGCATGAAACTGAAATCTTGGCCTGACATACGTTTAATTCTACTGATGTTAGAGACATATAAATACAAACATTTACAAGTCTGTAAACATATAAAATTCTCAAAATTCAGTAATTTTTAAAATTTATTTTATTCTATATATTTTTCATTTTTTAGCAGAACTTAGTTATGGGTTCAAATAATAAATAACTGAAGTCTAAACAAAATATGAGGTGGTGTAGCAACACCGCTATTGGAAATGACCCAGCCTGACCCTATTTAATGTGGCACCCAGGCATTTAAAAACTCAACACACACAATCACACAGTTGCACACAAATAAACCAGTGTTCCACACAGAGAAGAAACTGAAAATAGAAGTTACCTGATCTGTGCTTGGTGTGTCTGAAATATCATTCATGCTTCGGCTTTGAGCATGATCTGGAAATAAAGCACACACATGTTTTGGGTATGTCTTTTTAGAATGAACAGGAAGAAAAAGAACATAACAGATTTAAACACTTCAGCAGTGCTTCAGAGAACAACATTTATACAGTAAGAGCTAAGTAAAAATGCAAATTTTATCCAATTAAATCGTCCTGAGAGCAACAGAGAGGGCAGGATAAAACTTCACCCATGACCAGCTGTTCCTCTGAAGGATTATGATTTAATGACTTTTTTCTTTCCTCAAAGCAGATTTGGGAACAAATAAAATCAAACAGAGAGCGAACATACCTCACAGAGCCCAAAAAAATCCTCTAATCGTCCCCCTTACCCAGATGGAGTAACAGAAAAAAAATCCAGCAAAGGTACACACAATAGGACCAAAATCTTTAATGTAAACACACATTATGCCTAACATGTGTTCATGGTGAGTATACAGTATATTTATTTACACACACACAGAAAGCCATCACAAGTGTTGAAATCATGCAGTAGCTGGGAGTTAGCTGGGGTCAGTGTCGATTCAGAAGAGAGAATAAAGCACAAGTTCAGAAAGTGAGAATCAAGAGTTTAAAATGTCACTCGATGCAGATATCACATGTCTATCACTTGAGTAATGGTACTAGTTTTCTTGTAAACAAATAATGCTTACAACACAGAATGTGTATCCTTGAGACTTCATAAACTATAGCTGTCAAGTAAATCTACTGATGTACAGGAATAAAGGTAGGTGTAGTACCTCACAACTGTGTGTATGTTGAGTACTTGAATTAACCCTCTTAACCCCAAAACAAACATGTGTAAAAGGAAAAACTGTAAAACTGTAAAGTACAAAAAATAAAAAAAGAATGTTCGGATTTTCAGCTTTCTACTGGTTCTTGATTGAACTATATCTGATGTGCTATTTCATCAGGGGGAAAAAAAGCTTAAAATCATGATATTTCATCAAAATCATGATATTTTACTTGTTCCATTTAAAAAAAAAAAATTAAAAAAAAAACATTTTACACTGACCAGATACTATAAAAAAACACATTAAAAAATTTTGCTGCTCAGCACAACTGAGATGCCATGACTGATTCGTGGTTAAAATTCAGAGAGTTTTCAAACTAACTGTAGGCAGTGTTTCCACAGAACAAACAGAAGATGAAAAGAGAGACTGTGAGCAAGATAAAACATGCCTGATCGATAAAATCAATTCAATGTGGCTCAAAAAGGGTATACAGAAGATACATTCGGCATTGTGAAATATCTTTCAAGAGTTGATGTGCAGGGTAGTGCGACAAATGCAGAGTTTGTAGAATTTGTAACTTTGTCATACATTCTTGAGTTCTTTCTACTCCTAGCCACGTTTGTGCCGTTTCCATACTGTAGTAAAAAATGAGCCAACAGTGAGAAAAAATGTGACAAAAAGAAAAGTCAAAAAGAAAAAATGCTTGGGAGTCAGAGGGTTAATGCCCGTTATGTACATTTATTTTTAGTACTGAAAACTGAAAGACATTGTGCTGTGTGTGCTGTATGTTTGTGTGGTGTGTTGAGACTCACGCAGGCGGCCAAGGCTGCTTGACTGCCGAGAGCGTAGGTCTTCTGTGGAGCGGTGGATCCCAGAAGCTGAACTAGTACTACGACTCAGATTAGCCTGAGGACTACGATCTGACAGAGCAGCAGCAGGAGTAGATGTGAAAACGATGAGCACAGAAGAGGTGATTTTACGAGGAAAGGTGAAACAGGTGGTGATGGCAGAAAACAAAGGAAGCATTAGGATGTAATTAGAGGGTTCAAAGACTTTGCTGATTGGTAGAAGAAAAATGCATATGCACAGCACGCATACTTACTGGTAGCAGTATTGGAGGATTTCCCTATGTCAGCCAGGGACCGGTGGATTGGTTTCTTGGTCTGGTGACGGTGCTTCCTTAGCAACACAAAGATGATCTTCTCCTTCAGATCCGGAGGAATGAGACCATCCGCTATCTGCCGATCCACAATCTCCTCTGTAGTAAAAGTTTACATTCAAAGTACATTTTTATGAATATAGATAATGTAGCATGGTTCAAACCATTTACAACACTCAAGTAACTACATATTACTATTTTGTTATATTTTTTTTGTGAGAAAAAATGTTCATGCAAGTGTGTATTACAATTTTTTATCAGCTGAATGCACACAATTCAATTTTTGTACTTTAGATTTTAACCAAAATAAACCATTCATTCATTTTTCAGATCTTTGAACTTCTTACAAGCCTGCGATTTATGGCTATAAATTAAGTACTTTCTTTCCAGCGGATCTTAGATCATCTTCAAACATTACTGAAAACTTTCTTGTATGTTAAGGCCTTCTTTTAACTGTTTCCTTGAGGTTATCATGTCTTGTTCTTTCTATTTTACTTTGTACTTTTACTTAGTCATTATGTTTTTCTACTTGAAAACTTGATGTACACTACCGGTCAAAAGTTTTAGAACACCCTAATTTTTCCAGTTATTTATTGCAATTCAA